AATTTTTTTTTTTTTTTTTTTTTTTTTTTTTTTTTTTTTTTTTGGTTTGGATTGGGTTGAATTTTTGGAAAGTAAAAATATGACCGGTGAATATTTGATGTTTGAGTTACATGAGATTTTAGTTATTAACGTAACATTAGTGAGATCAATATATCTTAATCATTTAAAATACTAGGATTGGTTGACTATTACTCGAAGGGATGGCCAATGGTGATTGTTAAAGCGGTCGTCAATGATGGTGGTTGGAGTTGTTATCAATGGTGATTGCTGGAGATGGTCAATGATGATTGGTATGCAGAAAATAATCGTTATCAGGGTGGGCGGTGGATAATAGAGATGATCGTTGGTGGTCGGTGCATAGTGGTCATATAAGATAGTCGACGACAGTAGCAGAGATAGTACAAGGGTGTTTAGATCATTTTTTATACATCATAAAAAATTAAGAGAAATTTAAACTTAAACACTTATACTAAAATTTGATTTCAACTATAGACCAATTATTTACGTTACCTTTGAAACACGATGTCAATATCTTATTTAGTCAAATATATGAAATTGAATGGCTAAAACTATGAGGTGTGTCTGACATTTTTATTGACATTTCTATATATTTATGAATTCAATATTAACGTCTTTGATATGATATGAATTTTCATTATCATTTAAAAAGACGAATTATAACAAATATATTAATAAAATATCACTAATGTAAATCTAATACGGTTAGTAAACTTATTTGTTCATAATTTTTTTAATTAAATTTTCTTTTATAAATATTCATCGACATCGATATCTCTAAGATTAAGATTTCATTACGTGAAATCAACTCCGTTTTGTTCGGTTGTTTTCGTGAGAAACGTGCAAAGCAAGGACCAAATCAAAGTTTTGGGAAAAAAAAACCCACAAAAAAACAGTGACATATTTGATCAATCAAATTGGAGAGCCACTTCTCTGTTTTACCCATTGACATTTCTTCACAAATACCCAATTCTTTGTATGTGCAATATATTTTAATTATTATTAAAGAATTTATCAATATGGAAAAAAGAGCATTTCTTTATTGAAGGGAAGGAAATGATAGCGTGCTATCAATAATATTAGTCTAAATTCAAATTAGAATGATCGATGGAATATGTTAAATTTTAATGTTCCGTTAGTTTTTATATTTCTTTTAAGTCCCCATACTTTTAAAATATTAATTTTAGATCATAAATTTATGATTAATTTAGTAAGTGAACAAATTATTGTTTTGAAAATAAATAAACTAAAAGTATAAAAAACCAAATAACCCTTTTGAAAGTATATAATCTAAAATAAACCAAAGCAGTATTTAAACCAAATATCCTTTAATTATTAAACTAGTCCTATGCATTTCCATGATTTCTTTAGATATATTATATATATATATATATATATATATATATATATATATATATATATTTTAAATTCTAACCATTGCAAGGAAAATAATGTTTGGTACATTAAACTAGTTTATGGATTAAATGGTACACTATCATTATCTTATACAAAATATAAACTGGGTCAATGGCCCTCCACTATGAACGTAAAATATTCTTCCTATTAAGTTCATGTATTACAAAAGTAGAGCTTTTTACAACTAAAACCTTGGTTGGTTTTTCAAAACCAACCATTTTGAACTACTCAAAAGTCAGATTCCACACATAATCAACCAATATGTCAATATCTATGAGCACATATTGGATAACAATGCTTAGACTGGAAAAACATTTATTCAACTGATTATCAATTGTCATCCACCACGATAATGATGATATACTGTCCTTGTATCTAACATCTGTTAAAAAAAAAAGGACGATCGGGTTCATTCTGGGTAATCAGACATCCCTGGCCAATCCAGATAGGTCAACGTGACCAGAGTCGGGCTCGTTTTGTCTCATCGATGGGGAGGAAGAAGGCTCTCTGTTGAATACGGGTGGATCTCTGAAAGAACCAAAGAAACCATTCCTAATCTCTTCAGCTGCATCAAAGAACCCCTTCATGCTACCAAAGAGGCTGTGTTCAATGGCTTCAATATCGCTACGAAGTCCAGGGAAATTAAATGGTTGATATTCTGATGATCCTGACGAGAATGACCTATTATTAACCACCTCATTCGTTACATCCTCTTCTGTAAATTCCCTATTGGATTGTATCACTTCGACCGGCCTGTAAAGAAACAAAGCAACTATGACTTAGTCATATGACTCGTATAGTTGATAGGAAGCTCTTCAGCTCACTTTAATTGAACTAAAAGGGGAGAACAGTTGAAACAGGGAAGCAACCTAGAGGCCTAAAGTAACTAACCAGAAGCAAGTAATTTTAAAAAAGGGAAGATGAGTAACTAGAGGATACAAGTTCCTAATGGTTTTGATAGATTGGAGGGGGATGGAAGAGCTCTTTAATTCCTTACATGTGTTCTTTTATAAATGCATTTCCACTTTGGGTTCTATCAAATGATATACGTACATACTATCGAAACATGGTAACACAAAAACCGAAGTCATCATGTGTTAAGAATTTAGCATAGCACATTAAAGAAGCAAAAGCAGCTGGTTCAATCCGTAAAATGAAAAGAGTTTCCTCACTCCTAGCTCCAATATCATATCATGTGATACTCTTACAACATATCAAGTGTAAGGCTTTCTGGCGGTTTTTGCCACGGTAGATGGCTGCTCGAACTCGAATTCAATGTAGGCAGGATTACTATATTTTCCAACTTGATCTTCCATGCAATTAAAGCAGCATCAATGTAGGTTAAGAAATTTATTATTTTCAAGTTGGCAACCGATCATGTACAACAGTAACGAGTTCCAATAGCTTCCGTCTGGCAGGCTCAGAAAAAAATATTCCCAGACACTGCCCTTCAAGTTCCTAATCACCATTCATCTAAGGGCTAATCAATATTTTCCAATATATGATGCATGGATTCTATTAACTGAGGCTCAAGGCACTACCCAATAAGTTCCAATCATGTCATAGTCATTCAACCATCAAACACCGAGCCAGCACAAGTGCAATCCAGGAAATGCATACCTCGGTCATCTTCATAATTTTCCATTCAAGAAACGTATTTTTCCTAAACCTGCCTTTCTATATCACAACACAGATGAGATTTTAAAGAGAAGGAGCTCTTATATATTAAATAACCTCAGCTACATTCTTTCACTTTAATTGTTTAGAGATGTTGTACTTCGCTTAAGGAACGATAGAAAAAGCACATTTCAACCCTCTTATTTCATATGCCCCTTCATCACTCTCATTCTCATCTTCCAAAACACATCCTCAGTTTCTACTCGGTTTTTGTCTCTTCTTTCATTTATCTGTTCCTTCCTCTCATTCTTATTTTTCCAAATTATGAAAACCCATACACTTTAAGAAAGAGAACGTTAAACACATTATTTATTCATTTGCTAGGTCCCTTAAATGGGAGGACACTGCAAAATTTTCATATGATGTGCTTTAAGAATATAAACCACCAGAGAGGCTTTTACAATTATTAGGATGAAATGTTGAATGGGTGTGGAAATTTTGATTCTTTCCGGTCCCTTGCAAGCATCTACATTTTCTATGTGATGAATTATCAAAATTTGGAAGAAAATTCGACAGAAGGAACCCGAAATGAAAGTGTGTGTGTGAAATAACCAAGAAGAAAAAATCAATATTCTTATATGTTGGTCATTTAGGCCAAAAAAACATAGTGAACAAAATTATGGGGTAACCGGTAAGTCATGATTCTTCAACCTTCAATACAAATAACCCAAGAAAAATCATCACTCACATGTCAAACAGTAAGCCTAGCACCTAGCAATTTCAATGTCCATCCCTCTAAGATTCCATTAAAACAACCAATCACGGCAACAAAATCAGAAAATAAACCCCCCAAATGGCTCCGTAGTTTCAACGCATCAAACAGAAGTTCACTCTTGAATGTAACCCCACATCTACCATTCAACCTAACAATGTCTACCATTCCAACGCCAATCCAATGTCTACCATTCAACCTAACAATTTTTCATCTACACCATGCTGTCACAATTCGTCTAACCAAAAACAACTTCATCATATGGCGCGCCCAGCTCCTCCCCTACCTACGGAGTACGAAGCTTATGGACTACCTCGATGGCACCAATGCAGCACCTGCCAAGTTGGTCCCTTCCTCAACTGCGGCTGGTGCTGAGCTGGTCTCTAATCCGGCCTATAATCAGTGGTATGATCAGGATCAACAGGTCCTTAGCGGTCTTCTCTCCTCCATGTCTGAGGAGATTCTTCACGATGTGGTTGCTGCTACTACGTCCAAGGAGGCGTGGGATACCTTGCAACAGATGTTTTCGTCGTCAACTCGTGCTCGCACTACTTAGATTCGTGTTGAGCACGTCACGTCCGAGAAATGAGATCAATTTGCTGCAAATTATTTTCGCAAGATCAAAGGGCTAGCCACCTAGCTGGCCGCCGCCGGCTCTGCCTTGCAGGATGATGATGTGATCGCGTATCTTCTCGCTGGTCTTGGCCCTGACTATGATCCCTTCGTCACCTCAATGACTACCAAGAGTGAATCCCTCACGCTTGATGATGTGTTTGCACATTTAATGACGTATGAAGCTCGCCAACTACAACACCAGGCTGAACTTCAGTTAAATCTTGGATCTTCTACCAATTATCCTGGTCGTGGTGGTCAGCAGAAGAATCGTGGGCGTAGGGATCGTGGTCGTGGTCGTTCTCAAGGTTATTCACCCTCTCGTCCTGCTGGTGATCGTCGTGGCCCTTCTACTCGTCCTTCCTGCCAGATCTGCGACAAAGTGGGGCATACTGCTATCCGCTGCTGGCATAGGATGGATGAGTCCTATCAAGATGAACCTTCTTCTGCTCCTCCTACGGCACTGGCGGCTACTTCCTCTTACAAGATTGACCCAAATTGGTACAGCGACACAGGCGCTACGGATCATATCACCAGTGACCTAGATCGTCTCGCTGTGCGTGAACGCTATCATGGAGGTGAACAAGTTCAAATCGGCAATGGAGCAGGTTTGCGTGTTTTGCATACTGGTCATTCTCTAATTAATACTGCTACTCGTCCTCTTGCATTGCATAATATTTTGCATGTGCCTGAAATTTCCAAACATCTTCTTTCCGTTCATAAATTTTCTCGTAATAATGACGTATTTTTTGAATTCCATCCTTGGCATTTTTCTATAAAGGATCGACGGTCGAGGAAAAGTCTCCTAGATGGGAGGTGTGAATCTGGTCTTTATCCTATTAAGCCATCCGATGTCGATGATCTCAAGCACGCCTTGGTGAGCAGATCTACTACTCACGCCCAATGGCATGCACGTCTTGGACATCCTTCATCTCAAGTAGTAAAATCAATTATGCGTCTCAATAATATTTCGTGTGCTAGTGAGTCATCTTTGTCAGTTTGTAATGCGTGTCAGTCAGCAAAAAGTCATCAGTTACCATATACTAGTTCTTTCCATAGGTCTTCGTCACCTTTGAAACTTATTTTTTCGGATGTTTGGGGCCCTGCGCCTCCATCTGTTGGAGGTTTTAAATATTATATAAGCTTCATTGATGATTTCAGTAAATTTTCGTGGATCTATTTGATGCATGATCGTACAGAAGCTCCTCGTATATTTTTGCAATTCCAAGCTCATGTTGAGCGCCTCCTAGATACTAAAATCAAGTGGGTCCAATCTAATTGGGGTGGGGAATATCAGAAAATTCATAACACATTTTTTCGTTCCCTTGGAATTGCTCATCGTGTTTCGTGCCCTCACACACATCAACAAAATGGGTCTGCTGAATGCAAGCACCGTCATATTGTTGAAACTGGCCTAGCCCTTCTAGCTCATGCTCATGTACCTATTAAATTTTGGGACGACGCGTTTCTTACAGCCACATATCTCATCAATCGTCTTCCTACTTGTGTCATCAATAACAAATGCCCCTTAGAGCATCTTTTTCATACCCCACCAAATTACTCCTTATTAAAAAATTTTGGGTGTGCTTGTTGGCCTCATCTTCGTCCTTATAACAAACAAAAGCTCTCTGTTCGATCAAAGGAATGTGTCTTTCTAGGCTACAGTTCTTTACATAAAGGGTATAAGTGTCTTGACACAGATTCTGGTCGTGTCTATATGTCTAGAGACGTCATATTTGATAAAAATGTTTTTCCATTCAAGAGAGCCCCACCTATTTCTTCCCCAATCATGCAGTCGACGCATAATGCCCCTGATTTGTGCCTTGCATTTGGGTAATAGCCGTACTAATTTGGAGAATGATCACATGCTTATGTCTGTGCCTACTGACTCTTTGGATGCAGAAAATTTGGTGTCTACATCAGCTTCGGAATTGCCGCAACAATCCTCCGCATCGCTACCATGCGAATCGGCGTTGGTTGTTCCGCCAATGATTGAGGCCTCGACTCCTCCGCCAGCAGATGATATTGCACAATGCCCGGTCGAATCCTCGGCCGTTGGTCAACCAACTGCTGTAGCATCAGTTGCTCCCCTCGCAACGGCTGATACGGCTGTCCCCTCAAATGTGGATCCTGTACCTACTACTCATCCGTATGGTACTCGATTGAAGCACAATATCAAGAAACCCAAGGTGCGTACAAATGGAACAATAACATATTTTGTAGTTCGGTCTTCTGCCTCTGAACCTACTTCACATATTACTGCTATGGAGCATCCCCTCTAGCGTCAGGCAATAAATGATGAATTTCAGGCACTTCAAAAAAATAAGACATGGAACTTAGTTCCTCCTCGTGCTGGTCTTAACGTTATTGATTGCAAATGGGTTTTCAAACTCAAGCAAAAGCCAGATGGCTCTGTTGATCGCTACAAAGCACGCCTGGTTGCTAAAGGGTTTAAACAGCAGTATGGTGTTGATTATGATGATACCTTTAGTCCAGTTGTTAAGCCCACTACCATTCGGCTCTTACTATCTTTTGCTATTTCTCGTGGTTGGGCTATTTGGCAGATTGATATTCAAAATGCTTTTCTTCATGGCTTTCTTAATAAAGATGTTTATATGAAGCAGCCCCCTGGATTTGTGGATTCTCAACACCCTGGTTATCTCTGCAAGCTGGATAAGTCGCTTTATGGCCTTAAACAAGCTCCGCGTGCCTGGTTTTCTCGCCTTACCTCCAAATTATTACAGTTGGATTTTACACCTTCAAAGGCTGATGTTTCTCTTTTCATTTTTAACCAGACGGGCATTCAAATGTATATCCTCATCTATGTTGATGACATTATTATTATCAACTCATCTTCTACGGCTACTGAGAAACTTCTTACACAGCTTCAGGATGATTTTGCCGTCAAGGATCTTGGCATTTTGAGTTATTTTCTTGGGATTGAGGTCCGCCATACTTCCAATGGACTTATTCTGACACAACATAAATACATTCAAGATTTATTGTCCAGAACCAATATGCTCACCTCCAAAGGTGTGCTCACACCTATGCTTCCTAGTGAGAAGTTGTTATTGGATGGTGGTGAAAAGCTTTCGCCTGAGGATACTACTCGCTATCGGAGTGTCGTTGGTGCTCTCCAATATTTGTCTCTGACACGTCCTGATATATCATTCTGTGTCAATAGAGTGTGTCAGTTCATGTCCTCCCCGACATTTATACATTGGGCGGCCGTCAAACAAATTCTCCGTTATCTACATGACACTATTGATATGTGTTTGTGTCTTACAAAGTCCAACACTAATTTGTTGAGTGCCTTTTCAGATGCTGATTGGGTCGGGAATCCTGATGATCGTCGAAGCACTGGAGGCTATGTAATCTTCTTTGGTGGCAATCTTGTCTCTTGGAGTTCGAGGAAACAATCAACAGTTTCTCGTTCTACTACGGAGGTTGAATATAAGGCAGTTGTTGATGCCACTGCCGAATTAATTTGGATCCAAGTTCTCTTGCGTGAGCTCAGGATCTCGCAAGCGCGAGCACCTAGTCTGTGGTGTGACAACATTGGTGCCACCTACCTGTCCGCCAATCCAATTTTTCATCGACGGACGAAGCATGTTGAGGTTGATTATCACTTCGTTCGTGAACGAGTATCGACTCGTCAGCTTGATGTTCGACTCATTTCTTCCAAGGATCAGCTCGCCGATATCATGACAAAGCCATTGTCAGCTCCTTCTTTTAGCAATTTTAGGCGCAATCTGAACTTAGTAGTACATCGTCCAGATTGAGGGGGGTGTTAAACGTAGAATAGATCATATTTGTGTATAGTAAGATAATCTAGTGATCTACTAGTTTGTTACCAAATCTACGATTTACTGGTTTGTTACCAAATCTATGATTTCATAGTTTTGTTACCAAATCTATGATTTCATGGTTTGTTACTAAATCTATGATTTAGAATGTAATCTTCATTATACACATCTATAAATACATGAGGTCGTGACCCTAGGACAGGTCATTGAGCCATTCAACCTAACACACTCAACAAGTCGTAGGAATCAGCCTTCGCCTAGCACATTATACTTCAAAATTTAGAACTACGATATATCCCCAAACAATAAAGAAGAAATCAAACTTAGAAACAGCCATGTGGATCACACCTATTTGCTTCCAAATAAAGAAACGAAACCTACGTTTAACAATTTCTCTTTGCCAACAACAAATAGAACGAACCAATTTTCTTTTCTTCACACTTCCGTAAAAAACTAAGTTCTTAATTCGAAAGACAATAATAGTTAGGTTAAAACAAATTGTCACAGGACAACAGAAATCAGAGGAACGGGGATGCACATACCTTCCGATGCAGTCTCTGAGAATCTCCTCGGTTCTCTCGCACTTCCTGACGAATTTCCCGGGCTCGACCTCCTCCGTCTTGCACTGCGACTTCACCACTTTTCTAGTCGAACATCGATCGCCGGAAGACCAAGTGCTGGGATTATTAGACGTAACACCGTCGCCGGCGGGTGAATCCAATTCGCCAGAGACGCCTCTCCATACCCCACCCATTTTCGAAGCTCCCAAGTCTCTATCTCTCCGAGATTCTTCAGCACCACGGATTGAGAAGAAATAAGTTTAATTCGATTCTTGATCACCACGGCTTGAGAAGATGGGAGATAAAAGTTTAATTATGCTAAATAAATAAATAAAAGTTTTGTATTTTGCTTTTAAAAAAAAAAACCAACAATAATATTTTTTTAATTTTTTTTTTTAAAAAAATTAAAAGTACATTTATTTTTACTCTTGAATAAAAAAAATATTTTTTATTTAAAAAAAAAAACAAAATACTTCAATACCATATTTTAAAAATACTCCATATATTACTTTTTATAAGTTTACGGGTATTTTTGAATAGTGGATGACATTTTAAAAAAATTAAAAAAAATCAATAAATTTTTTTAATTTTAAATATCAAGATTTATTTTTTAATTATTTTTAAATTTTAAAATTTAAAAATATTTTTAAATTTTAAAATTTAAAAATATTTTTTAATTTTAAAATTTAAAAAAAATTTTTAATTAATTTAGCCGGACCATTTTCCTCCTAATTATAAAATTTTACTTAATAGTTTTTACTATAACCTTTCACCTCCATTCCAATAAAGGCCTCCTCTCTCACACATACACCACGACTCTAGTAGCAACACAACAAACCACGGCAGTGTCTATATAAATGACAATTTTAATCTCTCTAAAATTTTACTTATAACTTAGTGAAACATATCGTTGCAAGGAATCTCACACAAAAATTTAGTGACCGAACAATATGCTCTCAAAAGTCGACCCTAAAGAGTTCGGGACTGTGTATCTTCAAATGGACAACGATTTCTTTCAAGCCACAAACACCATAACAAAGCCCAAGCCTCCGTAGTCCACAACATTTTTCCTCTTATGAATTCAATCATCCACCAGGCTTGTCTACAGGTCAATGAATATATTTCTATCTGCCAACTTTCCAATCAAATTTGTTATAACGCATAATTATAAACATTACGAAAATTGGACGGTATTCCCAGAACTTGCAACATCGATCTATATAAGTTCGACTCTATTACTTCAGCTATGATGAAGGCGTAAAATGTCTACGACATCCTTAACTTGGAAAGTTACCTCTGGCTCCCTTCAATGCGCATCCTAGCAGGTAGATGAAACTCCTATGTCGCGTGATCGTATTACTTTAACTTGCACGATAGCTTCTTTCCCTCCATGGCCCCTGAAGCATAGAATTCTGGAGTTAATATCAGAGAGAAAACTGTGACATTGGTATGACATTTAAGCAATTGTATGTATTTTAAGCTAACATGTTCTTCTAGAAATCCCAGGTTCACCAGGGAAAATGCATAAAAGGGTGCAAATTTCATGGATCTCATTGCTAATACTGGCGGCGAACTTGGGAGAAAATGTACCATTAGCTTATATGCTAACTTATCAACTACCCACACCCAGTTTCACTTACATGTATCAGCCACACACTAAGATATTACTCGAAGAAAAAAAAAAAGAAGAAATCAAACTCACCTTTTAATTCAAAACTGTTCTTTCTGTTGCTGCTTATGGAGGGAGGATCCGGTTGTATCCATTTTCTCATTTGACATTGCTCATTTATAAGGGGGATAAGTGTTGAGGAGAAAGCTTGAGAAATGTCTTTACAGTCAAACAGTCAAAGAGGCCAGCATTAATGATACATGTGAACCATAAATCGATCAAGTGGCACCCTAGGCCTTCGATTGTCGATGGATCAAATGGCATTCTCCTGTGAAAGTCGGTTCTCATGTATTCCCTAGGCCCTCAACAAGTATGCTGCTTACATTATCCTCAATGACAGAACTCTCATTAACTAGAGAGCCAATCAGCAATCCATGAGTCATAGCATCCGGTACCCACCCCTTTTCCAACATCGAGTCCAACAATTTACATGCTTCATATTTTCTGTCCTCTTTCCAAAGCCCATTGATAAGCAAGTTGTAAGTAGCAGTATTTACAAGGTCAGTATGTTCAATCAGTTTATCAATTGTAGTCAAAATCATATGTAGCTGAGAATGGTCGGCTATACATAACAATAAATCATAAAGTCTTTCTGAATCAGGTAGAAGACCCTCATTGACCATACGGTTGAAAAGCGTTATAGAATCCTTTACTCGATTCATGGCACAAAAACTATGTATGAAAATGCAGTATGTCTCCAAATTAAGGCTATAGCCCAACACAAGCATCTGTGATAAGACTAGTAAGGCAATCTCTGCCTTGTTAGATTTAGACAACTCGTACACGATAGAAGCATACGTCATGGTTTTACAAGAAGTACCAGCATAACATGCCAATTGTAGCAGCACTAAAGCTTCATCGATATGTCCTAAATCACATATCCCTTTGATCAATGTATCAAATAAAGAAGGATGAAGAGGGTATTTGTTTTTAGACATGTAGCAAAAGACTTCTGCAGCCTCAAGAGTCCTTTTGGCTTGGCAAAGGCTTTCGATAAGCTCGGAGTAACATACAGCATGAAGAACCCAACATCTAGCATGTACCTCGTTCATTAACTGTAATGCAGCCTCGTACCTCCTGGATTTACAATTTCCAATTATAAGAGCTGCATATGTGTCTTTGTTTGGCACAAATGACAACACAATCATTTTACCAAGGAATTCAAAAGCTTTTCCAATTCTTGCATTGTTGCACAACCATCCAATAACTATGTTCCAAGATTTACAATCATCAATACTCATTTTCGACATTCGTCCTAAGACACGATTTGCTATTAAGATATTTTCAACATTGCAGCAACCTTCAAGCAATGCGTTGTGAGGAGAAGTGAACAAAAAACATCTATCTTTCACGAACTTTATAGCCTCACCGGTTTTCCCAAGCTCAAAAAAAACTTTTATAATACCTACATATACATCGTCTTTGGGCCTCAAACCACTTTCGGCCATCTCTTCGAGCAGAAATAATGCCTCATCTAATAATAGATTTTTGCACAAACTTTGTATTAGAGTACTATAAATCAAGGTATCTGGTATAATATTGGAAGCTTTCATCATTCTAAACAACCAGCTTCCAACATCTATTCTGTCTACCCTACAAAATAAAGATACTGCACATGTATAAAAGCTCAAATCAAGTTCGCACCCAATTTTGTATAATATACCCAAAGCTAAAACAGCTTCATCCACTAGATTTCGTGTAATTAAACCATTTAAGAGAACCTCAAAGGTTTTACTGTTAGGAACGCATCCTTTCTTGCTCATTCTCCTAAACTGGTTCATGGCTGTCTTGATTTGTTCAGCATGAAACAATGCAGCTAACAGAAAATTTAATGTGTCAACATTTGGTACAATGCTAGCTTTCACCATCTCTTTGTAAACAAATAAAACCTCTTCAATATCTCTGTTCTCCTCAACGAAAACAGCCAATACAACGTTAAATGTCTCTATCGAAGGCTTTAAACCAACCAAGTTTACATGAGGAAGTACCCGAAGTGCTTCTCTGGTTCTACCATGTCTAACAAAGGCATTAACCAAAGTGACAATAACTTCTTCAACACCCAGACACCCATCCTTCACCAGATCTTGACATGTCCTATCCATTTCCTCAACGTTCCCATCCAAACCCTGCTTGAGAATCGTCACATAATATGTTTGGACCGTATGGGAAAATCCCTTCTGGATAGCCAAACATTTGAAGATTTCTACCTCTGAGTTCAGGTTATTTTCATTATCCAAACCTTTGACCGAGTTGTTTAAGACAAACTTATTGTTCAAGGATTGTGTACTTTCTTCTAACCTTGGATTACTCTGATTGTTTTCCAGGAAAGAATCAACATAATTACCACTAAGAATTGGAGATAAGCATGAATTTGGTTTAACCCCTTTGAGAAATTTCTTCATAAGAGTCGACGGCATGAGCCTTGCAGCCATTCAAGATTATCACTAATTGAAAAGAGATTACCATTGTGTAACTCCTGAAAAGGAGTGAGGGAAATGTTAATTAAAAGTAATCAAATAGATAGCTAATTAGTTGATGCATCAAACAGAGATAGCAGGGTCAACATTTCTTCCTATTCAGATCACAATACTAAGCTCCACCATCTATACTTCTTTTAACAGAAGAACACTCTTTTTTCATAAATTCAAAGTATCGACAAGTTAACAATAAAGCAACATTCAATCCTACAAATCAAATAGTTCATTCAACTTCCAACACCAAATATTGAATATATATGAAATTACTAGACATCCAAGCAAAATCAGTCATGCCCAGATATCAAAAATTGCAAAAAAGTTCATAAAGTATATGATTTCCTTGCACTTCGACAGCTAACTATCAAGTATAAGAAATCAAATCGTAAGAAACAGCGAAAAATATAAACTGAAAGTAATGAAACAAATCCAAAACACTTTCCCCACTTAGGTTATTTTGGCTAAAATCTGGAATGGATAAAATCCATTGATTTTAGACACCAAAAACGGCAGGAGAAATCTTGCTTTCAGCCGAAAAAAGAATCTACATTCTTCCGAAATGATGAAAAGGCGTAATTGGGTGATTGAATAAACGTGAAGCTCATAATTTCGATAAACAGAAGCAGAATCAAATTGGAGTTGGGCGATGAACCGAAAAAGAAATGCTTACTCAAGAAAGCTAGAGGCGGAGGTGAAGCATAGGGTAAAAGGGAAGGAAACATGAATGAAGATGACAAAAAAAATGAGAAATGTGTTTGAGTTTCTAAACTTATAAAAAAAGATAAATATTTTGTTAAATGAGATCAAAAAAATAAGAATTTACTACATATAATTTTAGTTTTAATAAATATTTTCAATTCTTTTAATCAATTCATTAATTTTACAACCGAAACTAAATTTTAATTTTTAAATTTATTTTTGAGTGTTCTCGCAAAAAAAATAAAAATAATAAAAAAATAAAAAAATTAATCTCATTCATAAATTCTTAATTTTCGACCTTTTATATATTTTTTTTTATAGAATTACGGTGTAATAAATTAAAATTTTAATATTTATTTAATATTTTTATAGGATTAGGTTGGATTAAGAATATTTTTAGATAAATTCAAAATTTAGGGTTGGTGATCTGAACAACCCGAATAGAAAACTCAATCTAACTCAACTCAACCTTATAGTTTCGGGTTGAGTTAGTGACATGAACAACCCAAATAGAGTTCACAACCCAACCCAACTCATCTCAATCCTATACTTTCGGTTGGAATTGAGTTTAGTTATTGAGTTGTTCATTTTTTTAATTAGTTTAGTTATTGAGTTGTTCATTTTTTTAATTATTTTAAAAAATATATTATTTATTCACACTACATATTACATTAATAACTAAAATTTTATAAAATTCAAATATCAAACATTCATATGATACAACATATTACGAACATCGATTACAAGAATAAAATATTCTTAATTCTCGTAATAATCTTAAAAATAGGATAGGATATTTCCAGATTAGTCGAATCCGTCGTTTTGTATGAGAAATTTGAATATAATATTGAAACCTTTGCACGTTAATGTATTCCCAAAGGAATTATGAGCTAAAATCACATAAAGAAAGAAAGCTAAAGCAAATAACTATAGAATTAACAAAAAGAAACCAAAAAAATTCAGCCAAATTGAGATTTATTACTATTTTTACAGGTATAGTAACAAGGTAAAGTTTCTGCTTCACCTTCATCTGAATTTCAACTTCTTCCCTTCTTCAGCCGTATCGGACTGCCCGGAAAACACCAGAAACGGTTCTTTCTATTCCTTACGTACATCTCCTCTGAATCTCCGTTGATTTCGTCGATGCCACGATGCTCACTGGTTGGTTGTTTATCAGGATTATGTGAATTTTGATCTGAATGTGCGTTTTCTATCGTTCCATGTTCTATGAAACTCGATGTCGTGTGGTTAACTTCAGCAGGTTCAAGAGGTAAACATTTATGTTCTGGAGATGCTGGAACTATTTTGTTGTGGTTGACGTCCTTGGATAAAGAATTTGATGATCCTAAGCGCCTGCATTACAATTTAAGAGCATTATTGATTATGAAAATTCAGACAAATTTCGATTCTACGCCCCTCGAGACACCCGTAAAATGAACAATCAGAGTAGTTTTCAGCGCCGCTAGACTAATCTCATGGAACAATGATTTGAATTCGAGAAAAAAGTTATCAGTAGTTGGTAACGAAGTTTGAACTTATAACCCAAGTCTAGATTTACCCTTCGCCTTGGATCACGGGACGTTTCTTTTGCAATACTTAAAACGGTCCTTCACCTCGACCGTAGAACTTCGCCTTCCGGGTCAACCCGGTGGCTTTTTGTAAGGTAAGGCAGCACAAACCAGTCTTGAGGGCTACAAAATTCATCATTGGCTAAACAATCATAATGGCCATGAAAGAACCAAGATGCTTCAAGAACAAACTCAGAGAATGATGTCAAGAAACCATTTGGAAGTGATCACATTATGGAAAATGGAGTGGTTTAGTCATAGCTATTACCTTGAACTATGGTTAGAGCTCGTTCGAGGTGGTTCATCGGAAGCTCTCTCGGCCGTTTGTTTCCTTGACAAGCTAGCGAAAAGCTCAACTTTCGGATGAACATTTTGATCTTCAGAAGTACTCGAGTTCTTTTCGGTATCCTTCTCTATATCTGGAGGCTTTTCATCACTCAAGCAAGAACCAGCCTTTGCTTCACCACTGAATCTACCTTTCCTCATCATATTAATAACCTCATCTAAAGTTTGCAGAGCCTTTTCCACCTCTGGACTGATTATAGAGATTCTTTGATCCTTAAAATTACAGTTTTCTGCAACAGTTCTTCCTAAAATGTCAGTTTTATTGCTCTCTTCCTCTTCAATCTCCCCAAACGTTTCTTTCTCATTAGCTTCCATGACAGTTTTGGCGAGCTCGACGTTAACCTTCTGATATTCCATCAAGTTCTCCGGTTGCTCTTCCGTCGAGTTTTCCTGCAGCTCTTCCGTTGAGCTCTCCTGCAGCTCTTCCCTCGAGTTCTCCTGCAGCTCTTCCGTTGAGCTCTCCTGCAGCTCTTCCGTCGAGTTCTCCTGCAGCTCTTCCGTCGAGTTCTCCAGCAGCTCTTCCATTGAGTTCTCCAGCTGCTCTTCTGGAAAAGGATGGAGTCCAGTTTTATCAGTTGGAGAACCGAGCTGTTTTTCTTCGAACGCCTTATCTTGTTGATTCTTCCGGTAGAGAGCTTCCTTTATATGTATGTACAGTGGGTCTTTCAAGGCCTTCATAAAATCTTCATCAGATTTGAACATTGAAGCCACTACCTGCAATAGTGTTGACAATTGGAATTTTAAGACAAAAGTGGAAGACTTGGTAAGTTGAAAATGAGAACTAGAAGCATCGATGACAATAATATGGTTTTTGAGGAACACGGCCCAACTATTTTGGGTTCAAATCATATATCGGTAGAATAATGTATTACCTTTTGATAGAGTCGGAAACCACTGCCGATGAGTTGTCTCGAGATGAAGTTTATAAGTGACGGAGGGATGAAATCCAGCTTCATATCCATGTTTGCTATTGTCCTGCGAGATTTTTCACTGTTCAAGTTCTAAACGATATCAACGGGTAACGAAAAAGGATCTCTTCCAGGATCGGATTGTGAAGACGAAGATCAAACAAGGACAATATGTATTTGAGATAGAATTGAAATGTTTAACTTATCAATACAATCGTCCTTGCTGTTAATAAAGATTAAAAAGTAATCGTCTATGTCGATATCGTACCAGTCCTTATCAACCAACCGCACATCAATTTCCGATATGGTTATGTTGAACTTGGATTAGTAAATTATCGTCGTAAATAAAAAAGAAAGAAAGAAACCCCTCACCGGAAGTAGCTCCTGTTATCTGTCACCTTCTGTATAGCAAAGCCTCCCACGACATCGATCCTAACTACATCTTCTGCATCCGGGATAGCGTGCCTCGTGAATCCATGAGTAGTTATATCAATGCTGTCCAAATCAGATATCTGTGACGAAAAAAACAAAGGTTTAGATATCGATCCAGAAATTGACCAAATGGAAACAGGGAGCAATCAACTTCCAAGTAGTGCACACCGATCTCCCATGATCTTATTCAACCAATTACCGAGTTTAGAAGTACGATGATAAGGTCATCCTGAAAGTACTCGAAAAGAAAGTAGTGCACGATGATCTCCCTGGTTGACAGCGGCCATGAAACCTTAACCCTTGCTTTCAAAAGAATTAAAAGTTCAGTATTTCAAAACAGATGTGACAGGATGAAGATAGCGGGTGCGTTTGTGTGCGTGTGTTCGTGCACGTATATAAGTGCTGGCTGTATAGCTAGACAAACCTTACTAACGCGATCTGTTCACCGATCTGGACTTTTTGAAGACATTTGCTGGTGAGAATTTTGAAAGACGGCACAGTAAATTGAGGCCACCTGAGGGAGAACAGTGGAAAGAAGAAACCAGTGACTAATACTCCTACAAACGTCATTTAATCCATTCATTGTTAGAGTTGATCCAGAACTCATATTACTCAGCACTTCCGCTATGGCTGATGCCATGTAAATTTCACCATTTATTACAGCTACGATACAAATGAGGATTTTTTTTTTGTAACAGCTTAAGCCCAAGCCCACCGCTAGCAGATATTGTCCTCTTTAGACTTTCCTTTTCGGGCTTCCCCTCAAGGTTTTTAAAACGCGTCTGCTAGGGAGAGGTTTCCACACCCTTATAAACAATGTTTTGTTCTCCTCCCCAACCGATGTGAGATCTCACAATCCACCCCCCTTCGTGACCCAGCGTCCTCGTTAGCACTCATTTCCCTCTCCAATCGATATGGGACCCCCCCAATCCACCCCCCTTTGGGGCTCAGCATCCTTACTAACACACTGCCTCGTGTCCACCCCCTTCGGGGTTCAGCCTCCTTGCTGGCACATCGCCCGGTGTCTGGCTCTGATACATTTGTAACAGCCTAAGCCCACCACTAGAAAATAATGTCCTCTTTGAGTTTTACCTTTTCGGCTTCCCCTCAAGGTTTTTAAAACGCGTCTGCTAGGGAGAGGTTTCCACAACCTTATAAAGAATGTTTCGTTCTCCTCTCCAACCGACATGGGATCTCAGATTTTTTTCAAATAAGAAACACCATCTCAATCACCCGGAAGCCCATACAAAAAATCAAAACCAAATAGGCAAACCTTTTGTGTGTGTGCGCGCACGCGCGAACTAAAACATGCTTGCAATCAAAGATGGACCATATTTATGTTAGGCATGGACAAGTAGACATATTTCCCAAAATATGCACAAAAGATCAGAGATGACACTCACCATCTTTTGTAAAGTTCAGATTCCCACGAAGTGCACAGGCCTGCAAATAAGCAAGTTGGAGTTGTGTGCAAGATCATCAATCACATTGAGCTTTTAACAGATTAAACTTTTCAGGGTAAAGTCAAATGTTCATCGGTAACGCTTACAAATATCAACCGGGCCATCTACAAAGCCTTCAACAAGTAATGTATGAAATGGAGTGCCCTTCGGTCCTTCACGATACATAACCCGAAATTCTTCATCATCGTGCTTCATCTGAAATATTGAAAAGAATATAATCGACGACTTCATAGACACTTAGAATGAATATCAGATAGACGAAATTTTAGTATAACATACTTTCCACTCATGATGTTCCATCTCAGAAGCTCTGCTACTATCATTACCATTACCGGAAGTACTCCTCAACATGTCAAGAAAATTCGATACCTCCGCAGTTCTTTTACGTATCACGTTTTCGTTACATCCTTCAACACATAAACGAAAGATCAGAACCTCCAAAATGGATGGCTTAACCAACATGATGGGAAGATATCTAAATATCCCGACACATCAGTTCATCACCGACCTTCAGTTTCGTGTTTCAAATTCAAACGACGAAGTTGATTCAACACAAGGGCCTCAACAGACTCCTTGGTTGTCAGATCAGGAGATCTGAGTGTTTTATCTAGCCTCTCCCTGTACTGTGTGATTCGTTTCCTTTTCTCCATCTTGCATTTGAATCAAAAAAACGACTCGTCTTCGATCAGAAAGCACCACAATGACTCGTCTTAGATTATCCTTGTCTTCTGAATCACCTCCTTAATTTCAAGAAATTGAAACAGAGCGAGGAAAATGCACCATCAGTATGCATCTAACCACATGCTTACTAAAACCTCAACGCCTAACTCAAACTTCATCGATTGTAAATACATTAAACAAAGCATTTGAACTTGAATTCAGATTTGTAGCAGAAGAACAAAAGGGTTTAAGGAAACTATTAAAAGGGTTTCAAAGATCTACAGAAGTTTCAGAGTTGGGGTAATGCTATGAAAATCCAAGAACAGTAAACGCAATATATGTATTATTAGTCATCCAAATCATTGGTTGAAAGCTAAATCAAAAGGAGAGGAAGTACCCAAAATACTGCACTATTGAAGCTATTTGAAGATTAACCAGTCGACATATAAAGAATCTGACCCCTCCAGAAAGAGACCAGATAAAATTCCCCGACAGTAATGCAAATCTCAATGGAGTTTCATACAAATCACATCGATCATCGTTAAGGAGACAAAGCCAGCTGATACGAGCAAATCCAGACACAAGGGCCGGCGTTACTTTTTCCCAACTCCAAAGCGAAATCACAGGTATCAAGAAGTAATCAAATCCAGCAAAGAAATGGTACAAATACAGAGAAAAAGCGAAGAAGGGGTAGTTTGAAACATTGAATACGGTAAGTTAGCTCGACCCTCATGGCAAGAAGTGGTGAAAGTTCATCAGAGTGGCCATATTCGAGGTGGGGTTGAAGAGAAACAGAGTAAATTGATGAACAGTGAGTTGTTTGGAGCAAATCAACCAAATGGGTCCTCGAGAAAATGGTCTTGCAAAAGGGAAAGTACCCCAAAAGAGGAGAGAAAAAAGCAGTCGGTGATTTGGAGCGGAGCCGTGGGTTTGTAGAATTTGTAAGATTCGAAAGAAACGTCATTGAGTTGGATGAATGAATGATGCTCACGTTTTGTTCATATACTGAAACTAAATCGATTCTGAACAGTCCAATCTTCTAACTAGAAATTTTATTTTTTCTTTTTCTAAATCCAATTGTTGCATGAAACCATGAACTGCATAACTCCAATTTTTAAAAACTTAATAGATCTAAAATTTAAATTTAAACTTGGCATGTCAGTAAATAATCATTGGATATAGGTTTGATATATAGATGGTAATTTATCTCTTAAAAGCTATCCAACAACATCTTCGTCCGATAAATTTTCAAAATTTTAAATTATTAATATATAATAAAATTGAAGAATTTAAACAAATTTAAAACTATCTATAAAATCCCAAATTATTAGAATAGGTTATTGGATATAGGTTTGACTTTTTTTTTTTTTGATTGGGTTGACTGAAAATTTAGTTCTATTTGCCGATGATATTTTTTATGGTTGGGTCAACCTAACCAACTCAAAAATAGGGTCAAAACTTACCCTACTTTTAAAAATATTAAAAATATTTAACATTTGTAATCAATATCAATAATGCATTATGGCATACATTAAGAATATTTAACGTTGGTAATCAATATTAATAATGCATTATGGCATACACTCAACCCAACTCAACTCAAAAAATAGAAGGTTGAGTTATGAACACTAATGGGTTAGTTCGGGTCACCAACTCAACCAATCAAAAATTTCAAGTTGTTTCAAAAGATTTTTTGAACCCAACCCAATCCCGTCTACGCCTTAAAAAGACCGAATCAGAGTGGCCAAATATTCCAGAAATGAAATGAGTAGTTTCATTAGTTTCATTTGTTTTCATAAATAATTGAGAAAATGACATGATTGTTTCAATTTGGTGCTTGAAAATGAATAATTTTCAGATGTTTCTTGTAATTTAGAAATATAACATTCAAATGTCCCAAGCTTCAAGTATAAAATAATTAGTGCATCGCCACAACAAGAAACCACTTTCATTAATAACAAATAAAATATTACAAAAATAGATTCTATTAAAATAAAGTTATACCCATACTCATACCCATCCCATGGATCTAAATTAATTTCTAGAAAAGGAATCTAACACAAAGGGGTAATTGAGTAATATTACATTCACCAATCTAGAATTCGAATTCTGATGTGTTTAAATCATCCCCCTAAGTTAATTTGAACCAAAAAACAAATGTTACTCAACATAATATAATAGACACCAGATAGATATCGTTGAGTATGCTTCAAAAAAATGAGTAGATATCAATTTACCGTTGAGTCAAGACGACCGAGCTTAGCTCGATAGAACTATTGAATAAGCATTTACTTCGTAATTAAGATTGTCAGCAAACTTGAATGAATGCTGCTTGTCAAGCATGCCTCATTCAATTTCATCTACTTTCAACACAAAAAGTTGTCGGTCATCTTTTTCTATGGGAATCTATCACAAGGTTGAGCTAACCCTGCTCTCTAAAACGTCAGCCAATTTGATGAACTAATAATCTTGGACCCTTTCGGTTGTTCTATGCTTGGATGCACTTGTATTCCACGTGTACTTAGACCAAGCATATTTATCATATAGATCTTAACTAAGCCCCAAGAAGCAGCCCAATTAGCTAAGGCTTGCGATCTCGCAGTGTTTTATATATAAGGGTGTGGAAACCTCTACCTAGCAAATGTGTTTTAAAAACCTTGAGAGAAATTCCAAAAGAGAAAGTCCAAAGAAGACAATATTTACTACCAGCGGGCTTGGACTATTACAAACGCCTATTTAAAAGCTCAAAGAGGACCATATATACAAAAGGAAAAGGAAGGTAACAAAAGAGAGAATGCATTTTTCTTCATTGGAAAAATTGAAAGCTTGGCTGAACATTTTCTATTGCAGTGAGTAATATATACAAAAGGAATACACACAGGGCTATGATGGGGACAAAAATCTTATAATCCCCCCCCCCCCCCCCCCCCCCCCCCCCCCCCCCCCCCCCCCCCCCCCCCCCCCCCCCCCCCCCCCCCCCCCCCCCCCCCCCCCCCCCCCCCCCCCCCCCCCCCCCCCCCCCCCCCCCCCCCCCCCCCCCCCCCCCCCCCCCCCCC